GATATTTTGTATAAAAAAAGCTGCCACATTTTATTGCTCTAAAAACACACATTACACTAGAAGCCTAATGATCCAGACCAAATACAGTTCACAAAAAAAATCCAGGACAAAACAAAGAACAGGAACAGACAAACATCCAGCTGTAGTGCAAGTGATTCACTGTAGGAAAGACACAGTGGGTACTGACAACGCTTTGTACTGGGTTAGGTCCTTCCCACCCCAGTTTTACTCATCCACAAAGAGGAAGGTGGATGCACCTCCAACACAGTTGTGTGTGGAGCCTCCACCTCCATCGCTTTGAGATTTCAACTGCATAGTTAGTAGCAAATTGCTTTTACCCCTTTCTCATGTGTCCTGCAAGATTAAGGACTTCTAAAATATTTTTAGAGCCTAACCCGAGGTAAAACACAGCTGCAGGAGGTGGTGATGGCTGCGAGTATTACATCCAAGCCAACCCCTCCCAAAAGGGCAGAACAACAAAGACTGAGCTGGGAGATGATTTGCCCAAGCACTTGTCCAACCTCCTGAAATGCACTGGGCACTTCAAGGGCTGGTGGAGATGCTTGTGTCCTCCCATTCCTGGAACACTCAGCCTGCTGTGACAAGGAAGTGTGCGGTAACATAGCACATTTGAGCAAGATATCAAGATCTGCTAGCTGCTATTTAGATCCCTTGCAGCAGAAGATAAGAGAAATCACCGAAGAGAAGATGTGCTTTATCAGAGGATTAATTTAAAGCAGCCTCAAACAAAGGAAGAGAGCTGGGCCAAAATCAAAACCACAGAGAAAATTCAGTGTTAGACCTAACTTTTGCAGCTGAGACCCATTTCCAGAAAGATGTTCAGCCCTGGCTGGAATATGACTGTTTCTAAGCATGGCCTGATTATGAGAGGTCTCAAGAGCCTCCGGTTTCCACTGACCTTCTGAAGATCAGGATCTCTGGCAGCCCTGTGCTAGAGCATTCTCTTTCTCACATGGCTATGGACCAGGTCTTGATATCTTCACTTCAGTGAAACCCTTCCCTGAAGACAGTGGATGTTTTTTTCCTGAGCAAAAAATGACAAAGATGAATTGAGCTTCCCAGGGCTTGGTCTAAGGTGGAAATGCCCAAATATGAAATGAGGCTGGACTCTTCAGGTCCTGTGAGAACCTCATTGGAGAAGTATTTTCTGAGCTACTTCCTTTCTTCAATAAAGAAAGTCTGAGGGGTTTGCTACAACGTTTAGAGTGTGAGAAATCACAGTGGCTCTTTCCAGAGGTAGAACGGTCTTTTTATTCACTGTACACACAGAGAATCAGTTGGTGTTACAAAATCAGCTCCTACCCAGAGCAGTGAGGTATGGGTACACAGCAGACAGTGAGCTTCTGCTCTTCTCTTCACGCCCAATGGACAGCCCTAGGGGACAGTGGAGCTCATATGCACAAGTGCTGTCAACATTATGACTGAAGGGGACATGGAAGAGTTGCAAGCTGTATAAATACACGTGGGTAAGAAGCACACAGCTCACGTGGTGAATGGTGTAACAGTCCATTGTTAAGTGCACATGCACTGCCAGTACCCAGGTGTCTTTCCTTACTTGGTGTCAACAACTCACTGGAGTCAATGCATCACCCACTCTCGAGTTCTCACGTAATAAAACATCTGTCTCATGATCTCCGGAGAGGCTTTTCCAAGACCTGGCAATCAGAACCTCTTCCATAGAGACCCCATGGATTAGCCATCCAGCCTGGATACCATCAGCAGGGATTGGGTTGAGCCTGTAAAATCCCTAGAGCAGGGTTTTTAACTTCATTTATCCTTACACAGTTACAAGCACCCTGATGGTGCCTCTAAACACAATTAATAACCACCATGCACTGTGAAAGAGCATATTGACTACTCTGATGCTACTACTCTAAAGGTCCTTTCTATCTCCACAAAAACAGTCTCACGCCCACACGGGAGGTGAGACAATCCACTAACTGTCACTACAACTCTAAAAAGCCACGGGTGCTGTCACCGAGTCACATCTGCAATGATGGCAGCATCTGGCTTCATTTCATTTGCTTCACAGACAAGTGAAATTCCCAAGAGCTCCCACTCCAGACATATATCTGTAGGAGTCAGCATGCCTGGAGCATGAATCTGAGCAGACTCAGTGTCTTGAAGCATCGTGACCAAAGGCTCCAGGCTCAGCACTTACAGAAGAGACCCTGAGGGTCATTTTCAACAAAAGCCTTGAGCTCAGAGCTGAGCTTTGCAACTTGCAAACACTGGCAGAGCAGACAGAGATTGTCCACTTGCCTTGGCCCCAGTGTCAGACCCAACTGCCACAAAACACAGCATGATGGTCAAGGAAGCAGAGCGGAGCCGTCCGTGCTGACAAGCCCTTAGGTGACCTGAAGCAGAGTCTGCCTGTGGCAGGGACTGTCCTAATGCCATGGACCAGCAACAAGCAGGCAAAAACAGAGAGGGTCCTACCAGCTCTGTGGTTCATCACCGTGGGTGTAGATCAGCATGCGAGCATTACTCTGCTTCACCTTTCACCTCCTGTCACTAAAGCTACTGTGGAACTACTCACAGAGCAAAGCAGTCACTACCAAAGACATGCTCGTAGCTACGTGCATCAGTCTACAACATTCCTCTACTAAACACTACTTCACTTCCCAAACCCCCCTGAAATCAAAGCAGATGTCCTGTTTGTGAGGCAGGACTCTGCACTGGACCCCCTGGGTACTGCAGCTGCTGGTACCCAGCATCCAGCTGCACCAGCCTGTGTGTGCAAATAAACCCAAGCCACATTCCTGGCTGGTGTAAATCCTCACACCTCCCTGAACTCCTCTGAAGAAACAACAAGTCACATTAGCTGGCAGCTCAGCCCCTGATCTCCAGGGATTGCTCTGCTCCTGGTGCAACGCACATGCTACATCCGTACCCAGGCACCAGCTCCATCAACAGCCCCATCCCAGGCTCTGACAGGGACGTTCTGATGTTGGTCAACTAAAGTGATCATGCACCATACCAGAGGAAGATGATATATAGATATTTTCCAACATGACATTGCTCAGGAGCCACAGAGCAGCTGGTGGATAGACCCTTCTAACAGACAGCAGTCAGCCTCCAGCAGTGTCTCTCAGACCCAGTACAACCCCTCTGGTACCCCAGCTATTCGAATGGGACCACAAATTGCTGGTGGCAGCAGGAGCTCAGCTCCCAGGGCAGCAGGGCAGTAAGGACAGGCTGTAGTCCCCCTGCCACTGCTCACCATAGCTGCTACCTGCCTCGGCTGCTGGGGGAACACAACCCTCCAATCCAGCAGTTACAGCCCATTTTTCCTCCTTTCTGTCTCCCAGAAGAGGGGGAAAACAAACGTTGTCAAGCCAGTGGCCCAGAAGAAGGCAAAGAGATCAATGCACAACACACTTCCCAAAAGCCTGAGAAACACTCTGAAGGCTGAAAGAGGATTTTACAGTACCTCAGTTACAGCATCCCAGCCACAGCAGCCAGGGCTCTCTCTGGGTTCACAGAGACCCCCCCAATGAAATGAGGCTGTCCTTTGAAGGACAGAAAATAGAGCACTCCTTTCTCCCATGTCCACAGAAAATTAGTCCTATCAAAATACTTCAGTAACTAGAAATAAATTATTCCCCTTTTTCCTAATCAAAATTAAAAGCAATCATGTAAAAATCAAATAAAGTAAAACTCCCAGAAGAAGCCACAATGAGAAGAGGGGGATCTGGACTTAGTGAGTAGTTTTGTTCTGCATTATACAAAGCAAACAGAAAATATGATAAGAGAACCACTGATGGAACCTGGAATAAAGCAGCAAGACAACCAGCTACCCACACTGAAATGGTGCAGACTCCTCTGTCTTTGCAAAGAAAGGCTGTGCCACCTTCCTCTTCCAAACTAGCTCAGGACTGAGGCAAAAAGAACAGGAGCCCAAAGAGAAAGGCTGCAGCAGACAGAAGCAAAGAACAGGTCCGTTGCACGGGTCACAGGAGCAGGAGCGGATGTAGGGAGTGAGAAATAACAGAGCAGTGTCCTGGGCTCGTGACAGAAGGATGCTCTTGCACATCAGTAACCAGCAAAAAATCCCACTTGGCTCAAACAAGAGTATCCTTTTTCAGCTGAGGTAAAGCAAACCTTATTTCCCTTCTTCTCCAGTAAAAGAGTGAAGCTTAAGAAAAGTACCCTTATCAAGACAATGTAATTAATTCTTATAATTCAAGTAAATTGCAGTAACTGCTGGGCAGCTGTATCCAGAGGAAGTGGGGACTGTGCTATAGAGGTGTCAGGATCTGCCCCAGCACCTCTGGCAGCTCCTCTGCAGAGATGGTTATCGTCTTTATATGGGTTTTTCCTGGAAATCCTTTCCCGTGCAGCGATGTCTCCGATGCCTGTCCTAACTGCACCCACATTAAAATATACCCAAAGGAAGAAGACAGAGCTTCAGCATCACCATGTATTGCTAAACCCTGGATTCGTGTGTTACACCTGGGAAGGGCCACACCAGAGAGCATTACTAAAAACCCATAATGTGTGATGGCAGGTTACCCCCAGGCATGAGGCCGGCAGCTCCCCATCTCCCATGAGATCAGTGCAGGCAAGGAGCTGGCATGTCAGCTCTGTCCCTCCTCACCCCACCCAGAGAGCAGCTCCCAACATCCTCAGTTCGTGATTAGGCATCGTTCCAAAGAAAGGCTACCTAGCCAGGCTTGTAAAGCAGCACTGAAAGAGCCAGCACCTCTGCAGAAAAATAAAATAACATTTTAAAAAAATAGGGGGACTGTGAGATATTTGGTTGAGGAAGAGAGAGGGGCCAACGCACTGAGGTCTAGCTGCTGGTGTGAGAAGAGGGCACAGCCCACTGCAGCCCCTGAGATTTCCAGTTGCTGCAGTGTCCAGGGAAAGTGTGGTGTAACAGAGAGGGAAGCGGGCAGAGGGAAGGGTAGAGTGGGTTTCTGTATCTTCACCAAACATGTCAGTCTCCAAGATCGGTTACCCCAAGCTTGTGTGTTTCAGAGAGCCTGTCCCTCTAGGGTCCCCGTGAGCTTCTCTTCATCCATTTGCTTCTGCTGCTGGTGGATCCGGGCATAGGAAATGGCATCTCCCCTGCAGAGAGAAGGGACAGCATGGGCACGTGAGCTCCAGGTGCCCACCATGGTGGGTAAACACCTGGCACAGGGGTCTCCCAACCAGGGCCAGGGCCACTACATGTTGAGGGATGTCAGGAGTGAAATGAGACTTGCTGGCCCTCTCTGATATCAGCTTGTCCCACCAAAGCTGCTCACTGCCCCCAGAGCTGAGCTCATCCATCCAACAGCTCCAGAAAGGTGGTTGGGATACAAAAGGCAACGTAGAATGAGCTCCCAAGGAAAAGAACAGAGCTTCAGCAAACCCTAGGACTTTGAGATGATGTCAGTGAGATGTTCTCCAGCAGCATTTACACCTGAAAGCATGCTTAGAACAAGAGGAAAGCATGGCTCAGGGAAGCGGATAGGGGTGAGGGCTGGAGGTCCACCTTCCCCTTCTCTCCCCTCCCCAAGCAGACAGATCTCTCTTACTTTTTGCCGAGCGCCGACAGGCCATAAAGCACTCCAGTGGCAAACGCAATGGCATTTCCAAAGAGCGTGGTCAGTGTCAGGCTAAGCATGACCGGGAACACAGCCATCCTGGAAGAGAGAGCGAGCCCTCAACGCTGGGCTCCACTCACCGCGGGATGCGGGGATGCTCATCCATCACAGCAAGCCCACATGCATCCCAACACAATTCCCAGGATGGCTTTGCCACCACAACACACCCCAGGAGCATCCTCACCCGCAGTAGAAAGCAGCTTTCTGCCAGGGCCGCAGCTTGTCCGCCCTCGCGGAGACGGCATTCGCAAACTCGATGAACTGGCAGCAGAAAGGGGCTTCGCACAGGAACAGGACGAAGGCGTTGAGCCTCCAGATAGAGGAAACCAGAGTTAATCCTGCTCAGGTGGCCCAGAGCAAGGGTCAGTAATGCCCCCCAACCCCCAGAGACCCACTGCTCCCATGCCCAAATGCAGGCAGAAGGGAATGGTGGGGCTGGACCCCACTGCGCTCCCTCCCTTCTTCTTGATAATTCCCAAACTCTGGTGCCTCAGATTTATTTTGGATAAAGGTATGCCAGTTCTTACCTAAAAAGGAGTGGGGGAAGGGGTAGGAAGAGAAGAATAATATAAATAGAATGAACCCAGCATCTCAACCCACCCAATGGAGCAAGATCTGGCAATTCACAGACCAGCACCGTCCTGCCTCCAGAGCCCGACGGACATTTCATTCATGACCACTGCCTGAGCAGGGCAGCTCTGCCCCTTCCCCACTGTCGTCTAACTAACCAAACCTCCCTCCCAGCAGAAAAAAGAAAAGAAACTCTGCTCACATCATCCACACACCAGCTGCGATGTTCAGGGGGTTGATGGTGACACAGTTCCAGAGACCAGCGATGGCACAGGCTGGAAAGCAGAGAGGCTTTCACTGACCATGAAGACCAACCCAGTGCACCCATGGGAGAACAGGGCTGGAGCCTAGCAGGTAGGGCTGGCTTGTCCTCCCAGCTCTGCCCTGCAATAAGACCTTGCAGCCACACTGGCATGATCCTGCCCTCTGTATTTTAGGTTCTTTTGCAGAGCAGGGGCTGCCCAGAGGAGCCCTTGCCTTGGCCAGTACCTCTAGGCACTGCAGAGCAGCCCAGCGCAGGAGGGCAGGTGGAAAGGTCTGATGGCCTGAAGACGAGCCTGGGATGGCGGGGAGAAAGTTTCTTCCCAGCTCCTCCATCCTTTTGCTCCAAACACTTGATGTCTCAGCATGACACTTGCACAACTATTTCACTTGTGTAGAACAACAGACCATTTGTTTTTACATTGAGACAGGTATGTGTCACCCTGGCTTTTATTTGCTAAGGAATTACCTCTTTGCCCCAGGATGAACAAAGAGGTCCCAGCAGGCACCTGTCTGAATAGCACAGGGAAAGGTCAGCAAAAACATGACTGGCAGCACCAAGGCACATGGGTAAACAATAAAGCAGAGGCAAATCTGGTCTCTACCACACACTGCTGGTTCTGCACTAGAGATGGGCAAAAAAGAGACAAGTTTGGGTCTCCACTAATACAAATGGAAGCAGATGACAGATAAAGCAGAGCCCAAAATAGCCCCAGCACTCCTGACTCTCTAATGCAAGGAGAGGAACCAGGCAGCAGCGTGCAAGCCCAGGCTGCATACGCCTTCTTCCCCCCTCATTAAACTTGCAGAGCGTTCCTGGCACTTGATACGGCCCTTTTCCTCTGCCAATACCAACAGGCTGCCCCAGCTCACCTGGGAACCTGAGCCCGGGCAGGGAGGGCAGCGAGACATGGGCTGAGTCCACAATAAGCAACTCCACCCCGCAAAACTCCACCTAAAATTATATAGTCCTCGAAGGCTGCCTTGAGGATGATTAGCAGCACAATGAAGAGCAGCAGAGTCTGTCTCTGAGAATGAGACCAGTCTGGATTTGGGTATTTGAGATATCTGCTCGTGTTTCGCTAATGGGATCCCTGAGCAGAGCTGCTGTGAGCAGTCCTGACCTTCAAAAGCCTGGCACACATTTGCAAGGTTTCCTTTAAGCAGTCACTGCTGAATCCTCAAAGTTCCCTTAAAAATAGTTACCCTTACTTACTGGGAAACAGAGCTGCAGGCCTGTGACAGCACCGATCTAAGGTCATCCCATAAGCAAGTGACCTCCTGGTTTCAGGAAACAACCAAAAAAGGTGGTTTTTAAAGGTTTCCTAGGACTATTCCACAGAATCCACAATCTTTCACAGAATCCTGCAAGAACAAGACCAGCCAACAGAGGAGAAATGCCAGAGGACATGTTAATATCCATGCTCCAAGGGTGCTTCTCCTCCTCCCATCACAAAGGGACCAGTGTCAGTGTCCCCACACTGCAGGGGAAACTGAGGTACTGGGGTGGGATGGTCTCACAGTCATACATCATACATGTGACCAGCTGAAGAGATGGAAAAGGAACAGCAAGGAGGATTGCTGAGAGCAACGGGCAGCTTGGAGAGGAGGCCATGACATGGAGGCTTCTAATTCTTCTCTGGGACCAAGAAACCCTTGGATGCTGATGGGAGAGGAGCTCAGGGGAAGCACCACAGACTTGTGACACTTGCTCTCACCCTGAAAAGCACATTTCTGAAAATAACACTGAGTGACTTTCAGGCACTTCATAATTAGAAGAACAACAACAAGTTGAGTTGCATCTCAGCTATCCCTGAAAGGCAGCCAGGGCTGGGGTAGAACCCTGCTTTGCTGAACATCCCAGCAGAGTGGACCAAGAGGTTCACAGAGCTACAACACTGATCTCAACCACAGAACAAACCTGGAGAGACAGAATGTTATTTGGTTTTTGGCCTTATCTGTTTTTTAATCTAGCCAACCAGGGGTTGTTTTGTCAGCGTTCTGGTTTGTTTTTTTCTTAAAACACCCCAAAACAACCCTTGAGCACTGAGTGTCCCTGCAGGAATCTCAGTTGATGGACTAATGACCCAGCAAGCCTGAGCTGAGCGAGCCCCTGCGTCAGCACAGGCACCAGCCAGCAGGAAAGGAGTCAAAGGTTTATAATCTCAGGAAAACTGCACTCGGCAGCGGTTGCCAACAGCCACAGAGATAACGATTTGGTGACCTTCAGTCTCCTTTGCAGAGCAGCACATCCATGGCAGCCTGGTACATCCTTGTCCCACTGGGACGGGATCAGCTCCTGCCTCAGGAGCTAAAAGGAGATGGAGCTGCCAACCCAGAGATTTCTTTTTGCAAAACAGAGGCCTCGCAAGAGGTTTGAAATGCAGATAACGCTCAATGGCACGTCAGCTATGGCAGACAGACAGTTCTGCCATTTGTTTAACTGCTGTCCCATCCCAAATCCCTGAGGAAGCACAAATAACTGGGAGCTAAAATGGAGGGGGAAGAACACCAGTCCCCACAAAGACTCTATTCATTTCAAGCAGCTGGTCACTGTCCTCAACACGAGCCTATTTTTGCTCCTGGAGCATTTTACAAAAGCCACAGACTTTCCTCGTCCTATTACAAACAGGAACACAAGGCAGAGAAGGGACTTGGCCAAGGTCACCAAGCCAGCTTGTGCAAGAGCCAGAAACAGATCCCAAACCTTATTGTTCTGGTTCCTGCTCTGGCCCCTGGACCTTCCTGGCTTAAGCAAGTTGTAGGTTTCAGGTGTTTGCAAGTGGTAGATGTTGTCTGACAGCCTCACCTCCACTAATCAAGTTTCTCATCCTTTCTACAGGAATTTTTTCCTCTGTAAGAAATAATCCAGCCCTGTAGCAGGACCACAATCCAGTTGTTCAACATACTTATAAATTATTTCCATTCTTTTATAGTAAACTCTGAAAATAGCAGCAAACTCCAGCCTTGGTGTGTTATTAGTCACCCCTTTTCCAAACTGTCCACCTTTAACAAGGTGATGCTGAACAAGGAACATTTTGAAGAGGGTCATTACTAGCACGGGAGATTGGAGGGCTGCTTCTCTCCACGATCTCCCATTTCCCTGTTCCTAAGACGAGTCTCGTGTCTGATGCTACCTTGTTCTCTACCTGACAAACCTCATGAAGGGAAACTGTCAGGGCTGCAGAGCAAGCTGTTGGACTTCCCAACTCATTGGCAACCCTGTTAAGAGCCTAGCCAGCTCTTCTTCCAAAAGCTGCTTCTCCCAGACTCACCCAAATATGTAAAACTCTCATCTTTCCTGTAAAAAAAAGTCATGAGTTCTCAGAGCTGTGAACAAAAGGTTGGGAAAATAATCCAAGTATAACGCAGCTGCCTCTAAACATAAAGACAGAGAAAAAAAAATATGTTCTCAAAGACTTACACTGCTTTCAAGCCACTCATGAGCTGCTCTAGCACAAGGTGGGCAATGCGACCCAGCACCCCTCCTCTCCAGCTCTTCACCCTCCATCCATATCTCCTTGAGCAACTCATGGGCCAAAGACACATAAAAAGCATCAAGACTCTGGTTACAGCCCTGGCCCGTGGGAAAGACGCTGCTACACAAACCTCCACCTGGGACCTTCCCTGAAGACACATCCCAGCTGGTCTCTTGGCCGTCTGCCGGGACCAGAAGCATGGAGGCCTCAGGCAGAGCATGGCAAATCCAGTACGTTTTGCCCTGTAAAGAGCAGTTCTACCAAATCTTTTCACACCTCCAGAATTTCAGCACCTAAGACATAAAACAGTGAGAGCAGCATATGTTTTGCCAACCTAGCCAAAAGGGGCTGTAACGAGCCTGCCCAATGATACCAGGTCTACAAGGTCCGCTGCAAAAACGCCGTGGGTTTGTGCAGTCAAGTCCCGAGGCAAGAGGCAGGCATGGGAATGGGGCAGAGAGAAACGCAACAGCCAAGGGAATAAATCAGTGCTGACTGCACTGGCTGAGAAACACTCTTGTTTTACTAGAAGTCATGGACCTGAAGCAGAAGAAATTCTCCATCCTGTGCTCTGCAGGAGATCAGACCAAGCGGTCATAACAGTCCCTCCTGCTTTTAAGAGCTATTAATCTCTTCACAGAATGTAGCAAAACAGCTCTACAGGACAGGCTCATTTCTGGCAAAGTTGCAAAGACTCTTTCCCAGGGAAGATTTTTTTTCAACAGCAGGTAATTCAAAGCCCAGCCAACACGCTTTGCTGTACACTGGCTTCCTTCTGTCTGTCCAAGACTAAAGCCCTTAAAAACATGCAACACAAACCAAGTCCATTTTTCACCTTCAGAAAAAAAAAAAAAAAAGAATCACAGCCAAGCCCTCTGTGATCAACAACAAGAGTAACAGAAAACATGCTCTGACATTTAGGACAGGAGAAAAAAAATAAGTTGCAGGAACACATAAACACCTGACAGTCAAACAGGATGAAATCAAGTCCCATGGCCCCTCTTCAAGCCCTGAACCTGACCCTGCTGAGCACCCTGAGCCTGGTGCTCACAGTAAAATCACCTGGTTTGTCTGCCCACAGCCCTCCCGCAGGACCAGGGGCCCGTCTGCTGCTCCCACTGCCCACAGCCCTCCCGCAGGACCAGGGGCCAGTCTGCTGCTCCCACCACTTCCAGCCAGTGCTGTATCCAAGAAGAAACTCGAGGATTTGCAGATCCCCCCTGTGACGTCCCTTCTCCCAGGTGCCAAAGTACAGCAAGTTCCTTGAGCGCAAAGCACATCCCTCATGTACCAGCTAAAACCACCCCGCTTCAGGCACCTCCATGACTCTTCCTTCTGCCCGAAACGCAGCAAACCGGTGTCTAGAGCAGACACAAACCTGTAACCCCAGGTGATTATTTCATGGTGCACACCCCCCCTGCACAAACATGACCCTAACAGGAGGCTGCCAGCACCCCAACACGCGCCTTCACATGCACAAGCAAAGCCAAGGGGGAACTTTTGGCTACAAGGGAAGGGGATACTTACACACACCC